TACAAGGAATTCACATGTCCTAGTCTAGTGTGTCACATATCATATGAATTAACAATATAAGCAAAAGAATCAAATTCATGAACAACTTCTGAGATGTAGCACATCACCCAAGGCAAGAGTCCTCCCCAATGTGAGCTTTAAAAGAACTTTTCATTTTTCTAGGACAAGAGTTGTCTGAAATCATCGAGATAAACGTGTACTTCTCCATCTCTCACACTAGTGTAAGAGGTAAAAACACTTTTGTTTCACAGATGTGCTTGATAGTACTTCTGTTTCACAGATGTGCCTAATAGCACCAGAGTCTATCACCCATTTGCTCAGATTTCTCACAAGGTTTATTTGGAGAAATGACCGCAACACCTCCTTCGACTAAATTTGCCTTGAAAGAAGTGTCATCTTTTATTCTATGGCTGCACTGAGGTGCATGATGATTTGGTTTTTCACAAATAAAACAATTTTCTTTCTTCTTGAAGGTGGGGTTAGATTCATTGGGATGAAAATTTTTTAAATTATTTTTCTTCTTGTAATTATATTTCTTTTTCACCTACCTTTTTGGAACTAGTTTGTCTTCTACTATATTTGTCTTAGCTAATAATGTCTTAGCCCCATTCTTTTCATTTAGTATCTTCGATAATGATGTGCGTAATGAGATATGGTGGTGACATTTGTTTATGAATGTGTTAAACTGTTGTTTGTAATCTATCCAGGATTCTGGAAGTTTTTCAATTAGAAGTTCTGAAACAAACTCATCTGGTAGGACTATGTTTTCCGCTTTAATATCTTCAAGCAACTTGTGGTACTCGTTGATATGGATCTTAATTCCGATAACAAATATTTATCTCATGACATCTTTGATAGTGTATTTGAGAATCAACAAATCCAAAGTATCCGTGACTTCCTTATAGGATCAATACACATTGAGCAAAACATTAGATAATGAACTAAACAAAATGTGTCGACATATCTAATTCAAATGAATCCAGACTTCAATTTGTTTAGCAAGAGTACTGGAGTCAGATATGATAGTTGTAAAACTTCAATTGTTGAAACGTTCAAGAAAGGTTTCGCAAAAATAGTTTGAATTCTAGAAGCGTTGTTTGTCTTCTCTAGTGTAGAATTGTTGTTGGTGCCTTTACTGTTAGTTACAAGTCCTTAAGATTATTGTAAATACTGACAATAATACGAACAAAACTTGATTCATAAGATCTGTATAATCATTACCCTTAAGAACTTATCCATGGTGTATTACCTAAGTCTCCCAAGTTATAATAAAAAACTTTTTAGATTTTCTAAGAAACTCATAATCTAGCAAATAACTTTTAAAAGAGTATATAAATCTAGGATAAGAAAAAAAAAAATAAAAAAATAAGAGAAGAGAAAATGAGGGGAGTGTATGTTTTGGATGAGTGTGAAGTAATCTATTTATAAATGTGATATAGATAACAAATTTATCTCCGTATAATAATATAGAGAAAACGCACACATTCAGAGTATTTGTGCTAGTATTGCATTTTTATGGGTGAGTGTTACTTAGAATGAGGGGAAAAGAGTGAAAGAAGTTAGAAAAATTTTACAATCTTCTAATATATATATATATAAAATACTCTTAATCACAATTTCTAAATGATATAAAAATCATAAACACATTAAAATAAAATAAAAGATATATATAAATTATTTTTTAGTCTTAGGAAATGTACGGAACATATCCCATTCTATTTTTTACTATACTTTGATTTGTTTATTTAATATTTTGTTTGCGTATCAAACTGGCATAGAAGAATAGAGAAGATAGAAACTGAGTTGCATCATTATTTTGAAGAAGGAAAAAGCTAAAGAAAACAATCACCAGGTATATGATTGATGCTGATTTTGGACATTTTAAAATTATTATAAACAAGTAAAAATATTATTCTTCTTTCTTTAATAAATGTCTTGTCATTTTCACTAAAGAAGGGCAAGAATCTTTCATCGTCAATTGCCAGAACGTGAAAGTATGTAAATGTGTATTGAGACAAACATGAATGAAAAACAAATAATAATCTTTTTTTCTATTTCTGTTCCTTCATTTTTTTTTAACCCAATAACTTAAATCACTGTTTTTTAACTTATTTTTTCTTTTCAAAACAAAGATGTTAATCCCAATAGATAAAATGACATAAAAGTAATTAAGACCTTCTATTTATATCATTACATAAAAAATATTTTTACTTATTTAATTATTATATTATTACTTATACTATCATGATTACTCAAATTAAATTTTATTAAATGGTAATAATATAATTTAAGAAAATATATATTATATCAATTTTAGTTTTTATAAGTAATGTATTAAATATTTTATATTATAATATAAAATCATATATATAATTTATGTGAAATAAATTTTCAATCTCACTATCAATATTTCAAAATATATAATCTAACAAAAGATATAACGTGATGTAACATGTGATAAATATTACACTTCTACCATAAATTCTGACCTAAAGCCATGCTCATAATTAGTTACCAATGGTTTGAAGGAAATGATATGTTACAATAGGAGATATTGGTTTTTGACAATGGCTTTTCCCATTCAAACCCAATTGTCCTCTGTTTTAAGTTCCATTGGTCACTATTTATGTCTAATTTTGTTTGCTAGCAATCACATCACAACAATTAATTTGGCAACACCATAAGCCTTTGGTATTCCAGATTCTGGCCTGGTCATATATTAGTAACATATTCATTATTGACAATATTTAATACTCCAAAAATCAATCAAGTGTGACAATTATTATAATAAATTAATTGATAAAATATCAAACACGTTGTTTCTAAGAATTTTTTTTACACTTAAAACAACTGCTATCTCGGAAAAGATGCTTGTTCCGGCCAGAACAAAATTGTTTAAAGATGTAACATGCATCTTCAATTCATAGTGTAAAGACGTAGTGATTTTGAAGAGGGGGACACCAAAATTAGAAAATATAAACCTAGTTTGTTCTTTTGTTTTCTATAGTGTAAAGTTGCACGTGCATGAATTCCTCCTTTTTTTTTTGTTAAGCTTGGCCATTATTCTATTTCTTACCCAAATTAATATTCGTCTCTTTTATTTATACCAAAAAAGTGAATGGACCCATAGACCTGATAATAAGAACATGATTCCTTATAAGCTGCCACATTTACAAGATCTTAGAGGAACATACAATAAATAATATGGCTTGGTCTCAAACATTATCAAAAGCGTATTGCTATATTTCAAATATAATAATAATAAGAATTATTATGTACAAAAGGGATAAACCATACTTATCACAGCCACAATAATTTGAAAATCAGAAAAAAAAAAAAAATGGGAAAGGTGAGGGTCACACGGGAAAAAAGCCTCACTTTTTAGGTAGGTTCTTTACGATTGATTCCATAACCAATAGGGATTTTCCGTAGCAAAACTGTATTGTTAGTGGTCAAAATTACGATTTGGGATAAATCGATAACTCTCACCTAAAAGTCAATTTAGTATACAAATCCCTTATAAAGTCAAGGGTTGTCAACGTCTTGGTTGGTTACCGTAGACAGAAACAAAGGGAGGAATAACAGCAAAACAATTGGAAATGTACGATTCTACGTATAATAATATACTGATAATTTCCAAAGTCATAAACTTGAAGACAAGATAAAATTATAAATTAAAAAAGAAAAAGTTATAATATTGGTAGTACATACCAACTTACCAAGAGCAAGGGAAGGTTTGTTTGGTAGAGTTTTTGAAATTAGGGCAACTATTTTAGATAGAACTTGACATGCAGATCACACTATAGTGCTACAATAATATAAAACTCACTTACTCCAATCATTCATAAAGACTTTGTCACTCAACTTATGAAGATTGTTTATCACGCATTACTCCCTTCCAGAAAGTGTATATATATAAGTATGTAATTTGGGAAAGCGTGTCCCGCCATCCACGTGAAGAATTGAATAATAGTGGATGCATGTATGGGCTTTCATTTCTTTGTCTGCGGATGCAAAAAAGAAGAAATGAGGGATCAAAGAAAGCAAAAGCAGAGGTTTATTCTACGACTGTCTCATTTGAAACCCAACTATTGATGGATGCAGAGAATCTAGAAGAACAAATAAAAAAGTTTAAGTGTGTGTGGTTTTGTCTAGTATGTTGAGTCCACGAAGCCTAAAAAACCGCTGCAGTTTCAAGTCCAGGAGTTAGCCCATAATTCCACAAATTAAACCTACAAAAGTTTCATTTCGATTCAACGTACCAAATCTGCTGACTGTTTATAATTATGCAGATTTTTAAAAAAGAAGACCATTATCTGTGGACCTAAGTACCCCACCAACCACTAGTACGTCAAATTATTTCGATTTTGAAAACCATTTATATAATCCATATGTAATTGAAAGAAGTTGAAATGAAGAAAAAAATTTCGTCCGATTCTAATCAAAATCAAACATGGTTAACACGTTTTAAAGGGATTCTATAAAATTATATCCTAATAAATTAAAGGCACACTTAGGTAATTCCTTTTATAAAAGGTGAGCCACACAATGATTGGTGTTGATTTAGACCTGACTCGGCTCAACTATGTTCAATCTCCGGTGGTTTTTGCACTGCACAACCAGTGCTTATGTTCGTCAAACACTGACTTGGCTGAGCTTAGGTCCTGAAGCAACATTGTTAGTAATCATAAGGTTCAGAACAGTTGAGAAAATAGAGACCAACTCAGTCACTAATAGAGACTAATCGACCTTGAAGCACGGGAAGACCCTGCCTGCCATTATCCACCACCATTTAGACACAGTTTGGCAGTAACTCCTCATAAATGCAGCTCGTAATTGCCTCATCACAGTGATTTATTTATACAGAAACATTTCAAAGTATGATACAGTTTAATGGAAAATTATCAACTAAAAATTACTAAAAAAACTATATCTATGTCCACACCATTAAAAAAAAAATGGAAAATACGATCCAGTATAGTTCATACAAAACTAATTGCTTAACGATTTACAAGTGGTTCACTGATTTCAAGCAATTCATTTTTGAGACCGGTGAAAACAATAGAATCAGTTTCCAAGGGCTTGAACTTAATTAGAGCTGAAGGTACCAGGTCCTCTTCCTCTATTGTTTTAGCAGTTTCACCTGGTTTTGGAAAATGAGGGATCACACGCCGTTGGACAACTACAGGATGCATTAGCTCAAATTCCAAACCTGGTTCTTTTAGTGCTGAGCTGACAAACTGTTACATCAACATGTAAAAATAGAACATTGCTCAGTTTCTGACCTAAAATAAACAGAAAGATAAAACATTTGGGGAACGAAAACAGAACAAATGGTCAAAATCCAATCAAAATGTGCTACTTGTGTGTGTAATTGCAATTGTAATAATTTAATTGTAAGTAAAAATGTTAAGGTATGCATTCTTGGCATTTCGCTTGCTGGGAGAGGAACAAATACTTCGCACTTTGCTGTAGCCAAGCTTCCAACTAGCCCCTCTCTTGCAAAACATGAAGATGAGGACTTAATTGTTGCAAAGAATAAATTCCATGGTCGAGTTCAAAACAAAGTCCAAATTAGATTACCTCTGTTTTGCTATCATGTGTGCATTAATGAGACTTGTCACAGATCATCTAATTTTAAATTGCAAAATGTTCGTTTACGTTGAAATGAATAATTTCCATGGTTGAGTTCAAAACAAAGCTCTAAATTAGATTACCATTGTTTTGCTATAGTATGCATCAATCAGACATAAAATTGCAATCATTAAATTACCACATGACTACATGGACAAACAAAATCTTGGTCCAAAAAACATGAAAAAATTTGAACATATCAAGTGGCAAAGGACAAACCTCATAGAGAGCAGTGGTTGGTTCCCATGGAGCAAATACAGCTTGAAGTACAACTCCATCGGGAAATTGAATCCTAATAATAGTTTTTGTGTATCTCCTCCTGGAAGCTTTTGCTTGCTTTTCTTTAAGTGACTTAGGGATTAAAAGCTGAGAATCTGCAATCTTTTTTTTCCTTAACTCAGCTTCTCTTCTCACCTCTTCAGCTGAAAGGCTATAGAAAGAATCTGGTAGCTCAATTTTAGCTGCAACACTTTCAGGGACAGCAAAGAAGACCTTCACCTGTAAGTGCCATTTTAAATGGGAAAAGACAGCATATTCAATCTAAATTTAGTCGGTTACTTATTTGTGAAAAGTACTAAAATTCCAAACTAACAAGAAAGCGATGACACATAGTTTGAGTTTTATAGTATAATAACTAATGCATCATATGAAAATACTTAAAACAATAAGGAGAATCGACAAAAGAGACAAAAAGTACTGGAGATTTGACTTTGTGAGAATAATTATTAAGTCGGTATATGTTAAAGTAATTATAATGTGTTGGGAACATCTATCAGTTATGTGCCTAGGGCAGTTTCTTGATCTTTCATCTTCCCATTGTATTAGCTTTATATTATTATAAATAGAAGATCAAAAGAGGGTTTTTTATGCAATCCTCTTTGTTTTAAACTTAAGTTTCTCTTTGTTTTAAACTTAAGTTGGTATCAAAGCGGATCGATCCCGCTCTGTTTGTCTCAGGCATCTCTAGTACAATCTTTGTCGTTTGCCACCGTCCACCACTAGCGACCATCGGATCTGAAGCGTCTTTCCGGGCGATGGCCAACCCTGCCGGTACCGAAGGCTGATTGTTCCCCCCACACAGCCACACGCCGCCTTCCTTTTGCCGAAATTCTATCGCGCCACCACCATTGGTCTCACCGGAGCTTGTTGTCTCTGTTTTGACTGTTTAAACTTTATTCCGATAAGGTTCGAAGTCATCCTAGTTGAAGGTTACCTTAGGGCTTTCGTCCACCCTTGCTATTTTCTTCTCCACTATCAGAAATGTCTACTGGAGTTGTTGTCTCATTATGTGGAAGTTTTTCCATTACTTCCGAAAAACTAAATGAAAAAATTTATCTCTTGGTCTGCATATGTTGAAATGTGGTTCTGATGTGAACATGACCTATGATAAGGGCTAGAGCAAGAGAAACAAAGGAAGCTCTTCAACAAGTATTGTTGGTTGACCAAATTGTGTTTTGGATTAATCAATTAATGAGCTTTAGTTTGATTTTGTTTTAAGTTGTAATAAGGGCCCAATTGAAAATTTAGTCATCAGCCTTTGGGAGACCAAGGGATGCATAGCTGATTGACTTTTGGTTGTCACAGTTTCAGATACAATCAGTCATTAAGTAGTTTCAATTCCTAGGTTAATGGATCATTATTAGCCTTTATTTGTTTCCATTAAATAGTTTTCAATTCCTAGATTAATGAGTTATTATTAGTATTTATTTTCTTTTATTGAGTCTTTTGTAATTCTGATGACAACGCTTCTATATCAGCTGAACCATTCTTGTCAAGAAATAACAAGTGAAATTTTATTCAGAAATATTAGAGTTTATCTCTTTTATCTTAGTGAGAGTGATTCTCCTAAATTCTTGAGTGATTCAAGAACCCTTGGTCAGTATCAAAGGACTTTCACATCCTTTGTGTGTTGCCTTCCTTGGGAAGAGTGATTCTTTCCTTCCACCTTCTTTCTAATTCCTAAATTTCTTACAAGGTTCTAACCCTAAAGATCCTAAATTACCCCTTTGTGATTCATATCATTTGGTATTCAGAGCTCCGGTTTAAAGGTTTGAACATTAAATTGATGGCAGAAGAGGAAAATTACAATCAAGAAGCAGGAATTAGTCCAATTCAAATGAGAGTATTGATACAACATTTGGAAGGATTAATGATACGACATAACAATGGGCTCCATGAAAGATTGAACCGGTTGGAGAATAGAAATCCTGAGGACGAAGAAGAAAGGAGAAATAGGAGAATGAATGATGGAGTAACAAGACCAAGTAGGCTTGAAGGAGTCAAGCTTAACATTCCTTCGTTCAAAGGAAAAAGTGATCCAGAAGCATACTTGGAGTGGGAGATGAAAATAGAGCATGTTTTCTCATGCAACAATTATGAGGAGACCCAAAAGGTGAGGCTTGCAACAACAGAATTTTCTGACTATGCTCTTGTTTGGTGGAACAAGCTACAAAAGGAGAGAGATAGAAATGAAGAGCCAATGGTTAATACATGGACTGAGATGAAAAGGATCATGAGGAAGCGGTATGTGCCGGCTAGTTATGCAAGAGAATTGAAATTTAAACTCCAAAAACTTACTCAAGGCAACAGGGGGGTTGAGGAGTATTTCAAAGAAATGGACATGCTCATGATTCAAGCAAAGATTGAAGAAGATGAAGAGGTAACTATGGCCCGATTTATTGGTGGTTTGAATATTGATATATGTGATATTGTTGAGTTGCAGGAGTTTGTTGATATGGAGGATTTACTTCATAAAGCAATTCGAGTGGAACAACAACTCAAACGAAAAGAAGTGACTAAGAAGAGTTCTACCAACTTTGGATTTTCAAGTTGGAAGGACAAAGGCAAAAAAGATGGGATTGTTACTTCTAGTAGTTCCACACCTATTCCTACAGAGACTCATTCAAAATATGAAGAACAACCCTTTAAAAAAAGTAGAGATGTGAAGTGTTTCAAGTGTCAAGGCCTAGGACACTATGCTTATGAGTGCCCTAACACAAAAACCATGATTCTTAGAGAGGGAGAATATATAAGTGAATCTGAGGTTGAAGAGGGAGAAAAGAGTGAAGACATTGAGGAGGAGGAGGAGGAGATTCTAAAGGGAGATTTATTGATGATTAGGCGATTACTTGATAGTCAATTGAAACCTATGGAAGAAAACCAAAGAAAAAATATTTTTCACACTAGATGTTTAATCAATGACAAGGTGTGCATGATGATCATAGATGGAGGTAGTTGCACCAATGTGGCTAGTGCTAGATTAGTATCAAAGCTAAATTTAGCTACCAAACCACATCCTAGGCCATATAAACTTCAATGGCTTAGTAAGGATGGAGAGGTGCAAGTGAGACAACAAGTTGAAGTGGACATTTCCATTGGAAAATACAATGATAAGGTGCTTTGTGATATTATTCCTATGGAAGTCAGTCATTTACTTTTGGGGAGACCATGGCAATTTGATAAAAGGGTTAATCATAACGGGTTCACCAACAAGATTTCTTTCATACACCAAGACAAGAAGATTGTGCTCAAACCTTTGAGTCCACAAGAAGTATGTGAGGATAAAAAGAAAATGAAAGAAAAACTTCTTCAAGAAAAGAGAGAGAAAGAAAGCGTTAGTGAAACACTTGAGAGGAAAAAGAGTGATCAAAAGAAGAGTGAAACACTTGAAGTGAAACAGAGCTATTTAGCCATAAAAAGTGAGTATAATGTTTGTTCTACATTTAATTTGTCGGACTTATCTCTTTTTAATGTAGATGACGAATCCGATTTGAGGACAAATCCTTTTCAAGAGGGAGAGAATGATGTGAACATGACCTATGATAAGGGCTAGAGCAAGGGAAACAAAGGAAGCTCTTCAACAAGTATTGTTGGTTGACCAAATTGTGTTTTGGATTAATCAATTAATGAGCTTTAGTTTGATTTTGTTTTAAGTTGTAATAAGGGTCCAATTGAAAATTTAGTCATCAGCCTTTGGGAGACCAAGGGGTGCATAGCTGATTGACTTTTGATTGTCATAGTTTCAGATACAATCAGTCATTAAGTAGTTTCAATTCCTAGGTTAATGGATCATTATTAGCCTTTATTTGTTTCCATTAAATAGTTTTCAATTCCTAGATTAATGAGTTATTATTAGTATTTATTTTCTTTTATTGAGTCTTTTGTAATTCTGATGGCAACGCTTCTATATCAGCTGAACCATTCTTGTCAAGAAATAACAAGTGAAATTTTATTCAGAAATATTAGAGTTTATCTCTTTTATCTTAGTGAGAGTGATTCTCCTAAATTCTTGAGTGGATTCAAGAACCCTTGGCTGTATCAAAGGACTGTCACATCCTTTGTGTGTTGCCTCCCTTGGGAAGAGTGATTCTTTCCTTCCACCTTCTTTCAAATTCCTAAATTTCTTACAAGGTTCTAACCCTAAAGATCCTAAATTACCCCTTGTAATTCATATCAGGTTCCTTGGCCAAGGTTATCATAACCACCTTAAACAAGACGGAAGCAATGTGCCTCCTGAGAAAGCTGAACAATGGAAACAGGTTGATTTCCAGCAATATGACCTGCTGTGGCAGTCTGTTGAACCAAAATTATTGGGTATCCTTAGAGCTTTTAAAACCTGTAACTCTTTTTGGAAGAAAGCTCTAAACATTTTTGCAAATAATATTCAACGCCTCTATGACTCTGCAAATAGGCTTGCATCTCTCAAACGGACTAATCACGATATGGTATCCTTCATGACTAAAGCCCAATCTGCAATTCAAGAACTAAAGATGTTTTTGGAAGTGGAGTCTTTGGAAGAGATAAAAAAGAAACTTGACAAATACTATATGGTGATGATTCTTCATGCTCTACATCCAAACTTTGATCATATTAGAGATCAACTTTTAACCGGTCATGAAATCCCTTCAATGGAAAGCCTAACCACACGACTCCTTCAAGGTCCAAGACCTCAAAGCAAGGAAGTTCATGAACCTGTAGAACCTTATGTCATGGTTTCCAAAGAAGGAAAAGGAGGATGAAATATTAGAGGAGGTGGTGGTCGAGGACATCCTAAGTGCACATACTATAAAAGGATGGGTCGCACTCAAGAGAATTGTTTCTCCTTACATGGTTTTCCTAACAAGACAGCCAATATCTCTACGACTGAAACATCTGAATCCAAATTTTTTGTTGATGAATATCAAGAGTATTTGAGGTTAAAATCTAATAACTTGACGCAAACATCTAGAACTCCCAGTACAATAACAGCTTGCATTTTCCAATCCATGGAAGGTCAAGATTCATGGATAATTGACTCAGGTGCTTCTAATCACATCTCTAATAATACCTTCTTTTCTCATCTATTTCTTCTAAAAAAAACACATCATTTCATAGCCTTGGCAAATGGCTCTAAAATTTCCTCAAAGGAAGTCATCAGTAAAGTTCCCCTTTCTCCTTTCCTAAATCTCAAATTTGTCATTTTTATTCCTAATTGTCCTTTTAATATGATTTCATTAAGTCAATTAACCAAAACGTTTAATTGTTCAATAACCTTTGATAACAAGTCCTTTGTTACACAAGAGCGTAATTCGGAGAGATAAATTGGAGAAGGATATGAAACCGGAGGTTTATACCATTTTGGGTCTAGTCCACGTCTGTCATGTGTTACATCTCCAAGTCCTAAATTGTTACATGATCGGTTAGGTCATCCCTACTTGTCAAAATTTAAAAAAATGGTCCTTGAGCTTAGTAGTCTCCAAACTTTAAAATGTGAGTCCTATCAATTAGGAATAGGAAAACATGTTAGGTCTACTTTTTCTAAAAGGTCTGAATCAAGGTGTAATTCTAGTTTTTCTATTATCCATTTTGATATCTCAAGACCAAGTCGTGTCTCATCCTTTGATTTTAGGTATTTTGTTACGTTCATTAATGAATATTCAAGATGTACTTAGGTTTATTTTATGAAAGACCATTCTGAATTATTACCTACTGTCACATATTTTTTTAATATTCAAGAATCAATTTGGTCAAGTAATTAAAATTTTAAGAAATGACAATGTCAAAAAGTACTTCTCATCTAATTTTTTTGCAGTCTTAAGTTCACATGGTATATTACATCAGTCCACTTGTCCTCACACACTACAACAAAATGATATAGCAGTAAGGAAAAGCAGGCACTTAGTTGAGACTACTCGTACCCTTTTGCTTGGTGCTAACATTCCCGTCCATCACTGGAGAGATGCCATCCTAACTGCCTGTTTTCTTATTAATAGGATCTCATCCTCCTATCTCAATAATAATGTTCCTTTTTCCATTCTTTTTCCAAATGATCCTCTCTTTCACATTTCTCATTGTGTATTTGGTTGTGTATGCTTTTTTCACAATATGTCTCCAGGGTTAGACAAACTATCTGCCCGTGCTATCAAATGTCTTCTTGGGTTATTCTTGACTTCAAAAAGGATATTGATGTTACTCTCCTGAAATCAAGAAGTACTACACGTCTGCTAATGTTACATTTTTTGAATAAACTCCTTACTTTTCTTCATCCAGTCAAGATGTTCATTTCATTCAGTAGGTTTTTCCTATACCATTAATTGAGTCCAGTATGTCTAGTGCCTCAGCCTGATTAAAATCCTCATGAACCATCATCGCCACCTATTGATATCCACCAAGACGGGACCTAAACAACCAATCCAGTTATCCAAGAACAAGGTGAATCTTCTACTTCATGTCCCTCTCCATTATCACTCAATACCATGACTCCTAATGAAGATGATTCAGACTAGCTCATTGCTCTCAGAAAACGTACTCGTTTCACTCAAAACCCACATCTTATCTATAACTTTCTTAGTTATCACAAACTATCGTCTTCCTATTATTCTTTTCTATCCTCAGTGTCTTTTATTACCATTCCCAAATATGTGAACAAAACACTTGATCATCCTAAATAGCGACAAGCCATGATTGCAGAAATGCAGGCTCTTAACTAGAGTAGTGCTTGAGAATTAGTTATCCTTCCACCTAAAAAAAAAGGTTGTTGGTCCTAGTGGTGTAGTCGATTGCCTCAAGACACGATTAGTTGCAAAAGTACACACTCAAATTTATGTCCTCTATTATAGTGATACTTTCTCTTCAGTTGCCAATATGACTACGATTTGTCTCTTCTTTGCCATGGCAGCAATTCGTCATTGGTCACTTAATCAATTGGATATCAAAAATATCTTTCTACATGACGATCTTGAAGAAGTGTATATGGAGCAACCTCCTGGATTTGTTGTTCATACTAAGGTTTGTAAATTGTGTCGTTCTCTCCATGGCCTCAAGCAATCACCACATGCTTGGTTTGGTAAATTCAGCTTAGTTATTCAAAAGTTTGGGCTAAAACAAAGTGAAGCAGATTATTCAGTTTTTTATTGTAATACCTCTCTTGGAAAATGCATTTACCTAATAGTCTCTGTTGACTATATAGTCATTACATGAAATGATGTTGTTGGAATATCTCAACTGAAGGAGTATCTGTGTAAACATTTTCAAACCAAAGATCTTGGGAGCCTCAAATATTATTTGGACATTGAAGTAGCTTGGACCAAATATGGGGTTGTAATCTCTCAAAGGAAGTATGATTTTGATATCCTACAAGAGACAGGTATGTTTAATTATAGGCCAGTAGATAGTCCTATGGACCAAAACCAAAAATTAAAGACAAAAGAAAGGGAATCATTCCCTGATCCAGAAAAATATAGACGACTAGTTGGGAAGTTAATTTATCTTACTATTATGAGGCTTGATCTATCTTTTGTAATTGGAGTTGTTAGTAAGTTCATGCAGGCTCCATGTATTGACCATTAGAATGTCATCATTCGTATTTTAAGATACCTCAAAAAGGCTCTAGGACAAGGTCTGCTATATAAAGATAAAGGAAGTGTCCAAGTCTCTGGGTACTGTGATGCTGATTGGGCAGGCTCCCTTGTTGACAGATGTTTTTAAAGGATATTGTGTTTTCCTTGATGGAAATATTATCTCTTGAAAAAGTAAGAAGCAAAATGTTATGGCCCGATCAACTGCTGAAGCAATATAGGGCAATGGTGTCTCTTACTTGTGAACTTATATGGATAAAATAATTTCTTCAAGAGCTTAATTTTTGCGAAATCCATACCATGAAGATGTATTGTGATAACCAAGTTGCTCTCCATATTGCGTTAAATCCAGTATTTCACGAGAGGACTAAACACGTAGAAATTGACTGACATTTTATTTGAGAAAAATTATTGTCCATAGAAATTTGTACTGAGTTTGTTGGGTCAAATGACAAACTTACAGATATGTTGACACCAAATCCTTAAGGAGAACTCGGATTGAGTTCATTTGTTCCAAGCTTGGTACATACAATTTGTATGCTCCAGCTTGATAAGGAGTGTTAGAATAATTATTAAGTTTGTATATGATAGAGTAGAGTAATTGTAATGTGTTGGGAATATCTATAAGTTGTACCTAGTTCTGTGCCTAGGGCAGTCTCTTGATCTTTCATCTTCCCATTGTATCAGCTTTATATTATTATAAACTCTCACAGAGTTACTAAATGCTTTCCCAACTGATTTATATATGCCAGCAAATAACAAACTATATCCTTCTTTAATAAGGTTTCTGTCTCTCTGCGTTTCCTCTAAAGTAAACAAATAGAAAACTAAAATAAAGACTGAAAATTATTGACATTCAGGTCAGCAGATTATCGCATGCACTCCAAAAGTAGTGTTACCTTGGAATTATAAATGGAGAAAAAGAAAAAATTACATTCGTTAAGAGGCTTCACTAATGACATTTTGGATCCTATTTTCCATGCCTGACTTAAAAACAAAATACAAAAATAGCATGAAAGATCTACACACAGATAATTTCAACCTTGCATGCATAAATTAAAAGTGATGCTTTCCGTTCTGAAGAACAATTTCAAAAAGTAAAATATTTAAACTTGGTACATGATTTTTTGTTTCTGAATTATTGTATTAGGATGGATTTCTCTTGGGTGGTTTAAAGTTGGGCACCATTATAATAACTTGCCCAATTTAGTAGTTTTGCTTAAACCTTTTCTGGTTGTGAAATGAAAAGTTTTAGAGAAGATTCTGTATTATGTCCTCTGCCTTATACTTATTCTATTAACCTCGTATGATTAAAGAAACATTAAACCGGGCTAGTTATCAACCCTAATTTTCAGAATGTTCTTATAACCCTAGACCACAGCCTAAAATAACAAGTATTTACTGTGTCCCTTACTTTTACGTCCAGAAACAAAAAAGCATATATGAGGATAACAAAGGATCTTAGGCTACGACTTTTAAATATGGAAGTTATATGCGGACACCAAACCCAATGGAAATGATTAGTTAATGACATTGCATGCTTCATATCCTTTTCTAAACTCAGCTGTCCAGGTATTAGACATCTTTGATGTTCCTAATCCAGTTAATGAGATTAAAACCAAGCAGTGGCTTTCTCGATACTCAGCATAATTTATTCACAAGCACAGTTTCCAGCAAGAATATGAATTGAAAACCCAGAAACTTCCTATAAGAGAAAGATGTATAATGGCTAGAGTTAAATGGACATCCAAGACAAACTGTTAAAAGTAAATGAGAATTAGATAATGGACTTGTTTTCTCCATGGCACCCTTTAAGCATTATCAACACAATTTTACCTCTCTGTCGACTGGTTTTGGCTCGGCCTTCGCACCCGTCTGCGCAGAATTTGTAGATGCCGAATCCTCTCTCTTTGGAGGTTCTTGTGGTACAAGTTGTGATTCCAGTAACCCAATTGCCTTCTTGATGTATTTTATCTGCTCCTCTCTTGGAACCTCCATCACTGCCCATGTCTCTCCATTCTCCTCCCTGAGTTCAAACCCGAGAAAACTGAGTAACTCAACTCCCCCAGCAACATCACCAACAGCCTCTTTTATCTTGGGATTATTCATCCTGATCCTCCTAAACTTCACATTTTCAGGTTCTCTACCAATATTCCTCAACAGTTTGAGAACAATATCAACCGATCCCTCAGATGGATTCCCTGAAACGTAAGTCCCAACACAAACCTCCAATTCATCATTAGTGTTAGACCCAACTTCACTCTCTGAAACCCCGCTTCCATCATCGACTATAGGCTCACGCTCAACAAGGTTACTCAAACAATCATCCACGTGTTCAGACACAGCTTCTTCGGATCCGAAGGCTTGTTTACAAACGGGGCATTCATAGACGTTCAGCGAATACCCGTTTTGCGATCTGTTGGAATTAGTGACCAAAGAATCAAACGGGTCAAACCCATCACCATCTTTGCGAGGCTTCTCAGTGCTTCTAGTGGACTCCGTATTGTGGAACGAGGGTTTGGGATTGGTTGAAGAGGGTTTAGAATTAGGGCTGAGCGAAGGAATGGGGCGAGGGGTGGGATTGGAATTGGCGGGTGTAGAAGATGACCCGAGGACTCTACCTTGGCCCTTGAATTTGCCAGATGATGAAGAGGAGAAAGGGTTGTTCACTTTTTTCATGAACCCTTTAACCTTGTCTTTCATGTCGCCCATGGCTGAAAACCAAAATTCTATGGAAAATGACAACAGATCAAATGGAACGGTTAATAGATGAGATCAGTGGGTTGAAATCGCACAAATTGACGATGAATTTAGGGGCGATTGAATAGAAAAAGTACACAAGAAATCAAGAAATTGAACAAACGTTAGTGAGTATAAGGAAGGGGTTAAGAAGAATGACAGCGAGAGGGAAAAAAAGAATGAAACCTTGCAATAAGGCAGAGAAGGGAAGAATGTGCAGAAGTTGGGGTTGACTTCAGACATTTTCACATTATCAGGAATATCGTCCAATAAAGTTATGCCACGTCAACAAATCTCGACTATTCAGAAATTCGACGTTTAGACATAAACTTTTTACTCTTTACGACACGTGTCTCGTTTGAATCGAAAACAGACCGTTTAGTTTGATTCAGTCAATCGGTCAAATATAATTAACACAGAAGTTAAAGTTAAAATTGTTAACTAAATTACAGTATTTATAAGTTATTTCCTTTTTTTTAAATTGTCTGTCGTTTAAAATATATTTTTATTTATATGATGTTTCTAAATTGAAAATTATATTCATTAGTTTTTAACAATTATATTTTTTAATTATTTTTATTATGAACAGATAAAAAAATATTATAAATGATATTAGGTAAAGAGAAAATAATAAAATATAAAAATATTATTGAAATTTTTAATAATTTATTATAAATTATGAAAATTATTTTTTTTAATTTATGTAACTAAACCTTAAATATTACATGTAAAAAACAATGGAAGTTCTTTATTTATATATTGATACTAACAAATTTATAAATATATCTAAAGAATTGATTAAAAATAATATTGAATGAAAAAAATTAAGATTAATATGGTAAAATTTAAGAGGACAAAAATTGAGATTAATGATAAAAGTTTAAATCGATGTAATACAGATTAAGGGGTTAAAAATTAAATTTGAAATGAGATCAAGAAAATAAAAATTAAGATCGATATAATAAAAATCGACATTGAGAAAGTAAAGATTTAAAGGGTGAAAATTGAGATTCACATAAAAAATCGAGATTGAGAGAGTTCAAGAATGGAGAAGGTAAGTAAGTAATTAAGAAATTAAGTGAGAATATAGAAAAAGTTGAAATCAAAAGAAACAAGTTTATTGAAAGTGTAAATGGAAGAAAGAGAAAATTAAAAATTTATGGTAATCGAAAGGGGAATAGAAAAAAGATAAACAAGACAATAATTAAATATTAAAAAAATAGAAGATTCATAATAATAATTGGAAGGAAAACCATGAAATAAATCAGTAGGAACAAATAATGTTATCAGTGGTAAAATAAAGATTAAGAAAAATTGAAAAAGTTAAAAGATCGATAAACACTAATATAATAAAAAAAGATAAGAGATCAAGAAAGACTTATAAATATACATAAATGTTCATAACTTTACAATGTTACATATTATGAATGGTTAAAAGTGCTACTTCACAATGAAACTAAAAAAAATCATATTTTATTTTATTCTCATAATGATTACATAAAATATAAATAAAATAAAATATAAATAATATAAAATAAGTTTAATTAAAGTTAATAATTTGTTAGATGACACTCGCATTTTAAAAAGATGTCGCAAAAAAATATTATTTTAATAAAATCCATTACAATTTGATTCATCCTTGTGTTTCTTTATAATTTTTTTATTATTGATAATGAATTAGATTTACTACACACTTATATTTATAATATTTTACATTTTTTTTGCATATTTACTTTTCTCGTACTATAACGTTTAGGCTAATATTGAAAAATAAAAGAAATATCAAACTTGAAAAGGTGTTACTTCCTAATCTAAACAAAATAGGCCACGGGTGACACCTAAAAAATTGATCAGAAACATAACGAGTAATAAATTTAATTTAAATTTACACACTTTCCAAAATGATTCATATTATTTGTGATATATATATATATATATATATATATATATATATATATATATATATATATATATATATAAAGGCGATAAGATATAAAAGTAGAAGAGAATAAAGAAGTACATAATTGTTATTACAAATTTTTTAAGAGAAGTTACAATTCGAAACTATTCGAGAATAAAGAAGGCGGGGAACTTAAGCTATGAGGGAGTTGGTTGAGGAAGATAGAGTTTAAGGCTCTAAAAGAGTTGTAATTGATACTTCAACAACTGACTCTTTTATAGACCTAAAGGTTCTCCTATTCAATATTACAACTGACACACTATAGTCAAAAGTGGCCGACAAAGAACATGATTACAATTGACACGCCTTTACTTTTGGCGGCCGACGCTAAAAAACAAAATAGCATAATTACAAGAACTTTGTTTTTCAACTGTGTGGGCCCCAATCATCTTTGCGTGAAGAACCAGCTGATTCTATTCTAAGGGGTGGGACCATAACATCTGTTGGGCGATGGGCCAACTAAGCCCAGCTTCTTACTAAGATATTATCTCTTAGAAGGGGAATTCTTGAAGGTCTTCTTCTTCTAATTTTCTCATAATTCGATGAACTTTTCTTTGTAACTCTTCTTTGGTTGATCTTCTTTTCATGATATTGTTAATCATCTTCTTTAATTCTATTGGAATTGATTGTTAAAATTGATCAAAATCAATGTTTTCTTTATCTTCATACGGATCCTGAGCATCTTGTAGGTTGATAATGACTTGAGTTTCTTCTTCTTCTTCTTCATCAGAGCCCAATGAGGATAATGCTTCAATCATTTTCTGTTTTAATTGGGATTTTTTGGCTTTTGATGAAGGGAGTTTCGATAAGTCTATAATGGCTTTTCCTTTTTCTTTTATAGATGAAATTTCTCTTTGGATTGAACTTTTTTGTGTGATAAGACCCATTTTTTTTCCAATTTTCAATTTTTTCTTCTACATATTAGGTTTCAAATTTTTTCCACCAAAAAACTTTAGTTTTTAAGCAGAGAGTTTTAGGATAGGTTTCTTCTTTGTGTTAATGGATTTCAGAAATGTGGGCCAAAAACCAGCTTATTCCCATGGTTGAACATAATTTTATAATTCGAAGGTGTGGAGGGTATTGGGGAGTAAGACTTTTATATTTTTGGTACATTTTCATGATTTTTTTCTGGAATTATGGATTGGACAGGGCATATTTGGTGAAACAAATCAACAAACCAATTTGGTAAGGTATTGGGTACTTTTTTAAAGCATATATACCATGAATGCCTAGGATTGGTATCAAATAGTATCTTATTCCAGGCTTCTTGGTAATCGAAATAATTATATGAAGGGGGGTCAAAGGGCCTCGAAAAGCTCTTATTTGTGAAAGGGTGTTGGTTTTATTCTTGGTATGAAATGATTTTAATAATTAGTAATTTTGAATAACTAATTATCGAGGGATCTCTATCATTAGGAATGAGGGTTATTTCTGCAGATCCTATATCTATCAGGATAAATTGGTAAATTTTTTTTGTCTTTTTCAAATTTTTTGACTTAGGGACCCAACTCCATCCTTGAGGAGCTAGTTTTCTGAGTATTCCATAAACATCTTCGGGATTCCAATCTTCTTCTAAAGTAATAATCTTCTGGCATCCTTCTTTGATATGAAATTCCATTTTAGGGGTTTTTTCAGGGGGAGAATGTTGAGGAATTTGTGGTGTTAGGGGGGTAAATCTATTAGGTTGAGTGGTTATTGAGGTAGGAAGTTTTCGAGTGGTCATGATTTTAGAATATGATGGGACAAAGTCGTCTAAGGACAATGTAGAGGACTTTTGACTTTTTTATGTTTTATTCTTTTCAGTCGCAACTGGGGTTTTAGAGGGGGTTGTCATGGGTGTGGCCCTGCAAAAATTCTCTAGTTAGGAAATGCGGTATCGAATTCTCTTTTTCTTTAATAAATTATATTTCAAATTCAAAACAGGATAATAGACTTTGCCATCTTGTAAATATTTGCTTGGAAACTATATTTTTTACATCTTTTTCCAAAACTTCTTTTGCAGATTTACAATCAATTCTTAATAAATAATTTTTGTTTATTAAATCATGTTGAAATTTTTGTAGATTTAAAACTATACTTAAAATTTCTTTTTTAATCGTGTTATAATTCTTTTGAGCATCATTCCATATTCCTGAGTGATATCTTACTATTTGTTCGGGATTATTTTTTAACTTTTGTTTTAGTATACCCCCATATCCTATATCAGAGGCATCGATTTCTATAATTATTTTAGCTTCTGGATTTGGTATTCCTAGACATGGTAAGGACTTAACTAATTTTTTAACCTTTATTACTATTTTAGTCATCTCTGGAGTCCATGATTTGGGATTTTTTCTTAATCTAGTAAAGAAGGGTTTACATAATATTTGAATATTAGGTATGAATTCTGATACATAGTTTAAACTGTTAGGAACAAGACAATAATAAAGGAAAGAATAAAGGAGAGAAAAATAAACGACACAAGAATTTTAACGTGGTTCGGCTAAAATATGTATGCCTACGTCCACGACTACACTAGGAAGTATTTTTATTTCTGTGTGTATCTCAAACTTTACATAGGGTTGCTTATATAACAAAATAGAGAACCTCATCTCACAATCCTAATCGATGTGGGACTAAATCAAGCACCATAATACTAACAATTCTCCCACTTGGAGTTTGATTTACGTTACCACCTAGTGTAGTGCCTTCATCATCAATTTGCTCGAAGGCCAGTTGAGGCAATGCAAAGCCTCAACTTAGTTGTTGTAACGAGTCTTGGTCAACATATCAGCGGGATTCTCTGCACTGGAATCTTCAACAAACTCAAGTCTCCATCATTTATCGGGTTTCGATAAAATGATACTTCAATTCAATGTGCTTACATCTGGAATGAAGGATTGGATTTTTAGCAAGACAAATAGCACTTTGACTCGTCACTAAACAACGGAGAACCATCTTGTTCTCTTCCTAATTCTTTTAGAAGGTTCTTCAACCATATCATCTCCTTCGCTGCTTCGAGATAGCTACATAC